TCGTTTCGGAATCAGTTCGAAACAAAAGCGGCCGGAAGACAGGAGAATGAGGGACGTTTAATGTATATAACCCCGAACGACTCTTAGGTAACAATGGTCGTTGACTATGTCGAGGCGTGGACTGACGGTGTTTAGTCCTGCCTGGCAAAGAAGGACAGAAAGTCCATTATGCCAAAGGATTTTACGGGCTTGTTGAAGTAATTGCACGAGCCACAGTTGGCTGTGGTTGGCTAGATGTGTGTGTGTGTGCGGGTTCCGCCGTGCCGGCCACCTGAGACCTTTCCCGCCTCCAGTCTTTTTGACTCCGACTTGACACGGAGCCCAGGTTGGGGAGGAGGAGAGAGTGCAGTAGCTGCTGCGCAAGTCACCGTGCCCGCTTCGCCTTTTGTGGAGCACATGGTGGACAATGTCGGCACGACGGTCGGACTGTCGATGGTGGTGTTAGGGGGGAGGGGGTGATTGATGCAGAAGAAGCAGAAGTAACATGTAATGGCTCCCATTCATAGTGCGCATCTGACAGGTGATCATATGTATATGGCCTTTGCGCCTCCGTCTGTGCAAATTGCCTCGTGTTATTTTAAAGACCGGCACGTGATCCTAACAACTAAACCATGTCTCCTCCCTGAGCGTAAGTGGTCATGAGGTTGTTTGATGGGTGACCTGTCCCAGAGGACTTGAAAGTGAAAATCAGTGTATTAATCGGTTGGTTCTTTACAGTAATTCGTAATCCACGTTTCAAAATCTACAAAAAATATGTCGGTAACACCATGGGCCACTTTTTAGTCTTAGGAAATGATGTCCTACAGAATGGTTGGGCCAAATCCTTGTCAAGCAACTCCCTGTTGTCAAAATCTTGCTTTATCGCAATAAGAAAAGGAGATTATATTTACGGGTCGCAAATAGGTGAGGTATTAATATATTATGTCGGTTGCTCAGCGAAAGGGCTTACACTGAACCAAGAAAGATGCAAACCATAGGTACATTTTCAGCCGATCCAAATCTCTGATGAAGGGGAGAGGAAAACTGTATTTATTTTTGTCTTTATTTCGACAAACCATAGGCCACTTCAGCACACAACCCATTGGATAATGCAAGACGACTGTTTGAAAATAACCAGAATTCAAACATTAACTCTGCACAGTCCTGCCATGGCCACCTGCGTTAACTTAAACAGATTGGCAGTCACCGACCATCTCTGATCGCAAAATGCAATGTAGACGAACCGCACTCGGTCAAAATGACTGACAAAAACGGAAAAGGTGGCAAGGATCAAGTATATGCGCGGGTAGGAAAATGCTAACTGTTGTTTAACAAATTCGCCAGCATTTTAACACTCTGGTCTTACTGGCTGACGCCTGCACTCCATCTAACAATATTTTGAGTATTCGAAGAAGAAGAAGAAGAAGAAGAAGAAGAAGAAGAAGAAAAAGAAGAAGAAGAAGAAGAAGAAGAGCCCACCGGAACAGGTTTATTTAGACGCTGACGTTCCGAAGAGCTTGGTCGGCTCTTCATTGTCAAAGCGTAAAATGCCCTCAATCGACCAGAAATCCCAAGTGGTGTCACGTTGGTCGGCCTCAGGCTGAACGAGTTTTCTGTCCTCTCGCTGCCTCGGCCTCTCGGGGCATGGTTGACGGGCGTTTTGTCTGAATGCTTTGTGAGTCAGCACTCCGTCAGGGGGAGGTGATTGAACCAGTGTCGGGTGGTCGGTCAGGCGGTTCTTGCTCTTGTTCACCGAGTAAACTCGCCGTCGGTCTGTCTCCGTATGGCCTTCTTAAGTCCGGTGTGGTTGTTTGGTCCTGAGCTATACGATTGTGATGACGTAGGACTTTGCAAGCTGCAGAAAGGTACAGATGCCTGTTGATGGAGTGGGAATAGGAGAACCACGCCTCGAGATTTAGCCGTTTTGCTTTTTTGTTGCTCCGGCCTAAGATGGTAGCTCGCTGGAGATCGAAAGTATGCCCAGTTTCTCCAACGTGTGTCGCTAATTGGGAGTTTGGGTCTAACCTCCGAGTAAGCGATTTGTGCTCTTGTAGGCGAGTCTGTGATTTCCGCCCGATTTCTCCCATATAGCCACTTTGCCAATCTGAATATTTTTAGTATTCTCTCCTATACCTGACTGCTCTCCGTGCTGGACTTATTTTAAAAAACGAGCTTTTCTCTTTCTAAAGAATTACTTGTGGGCGGTACAAGACAATGGACTAATGTAGACATTTAACAGCACCGACTCCTCGGGACGGTCAAGTCAGCGAATGCCGTCCTGTCGACAAAAGACCGACCAAAAACTCGACCGAAGAACACCTACTTTTAAAAATGTTGTAGGCAGTTCTCCATAGTTTTTCCTCAAGCCGCGCATATACTAACCCCTTACCTAAAAGGTTGAAAGGACCGCTAACGGTTTGTCGACAGTCTTCCACCCGAGCCGATAAAATCCTGAAAGACAACCAGTCTGACACTTTGGTCATCGAACGTCAGGATCTCTGCCACTGAACCTCAAGTCAGCCCCAGTTCAGGCAGGACGGTCTGCCTATTTCTCTGTGGCGTGTTTTCGATGATGCATTTCAGCTGCTCTACGTGCAAGTTTCACGGAACCCAAACTAAAAGGTGGGGTGTTTTCGAAGTTCGTCTTCTTGCCAGCATACGCTGAAATACTTTCTTGGGTCATCACAGGAGGCTTAACATCTGTCGGATTTTCAAGATGCCTGGTTCTGCCGGTTTTTTTTTTAGAAAAACGTCCTTCCTTTTGCCACATTTCAATGACCCACGGAAAGCCTACTCTGAGCAAGTGGTGGTCTTTGGGTTTTCGGCTCTTGTACACCCGGCCGACCACGGTAGGATACGCGCCAAGAAGGAACAAGTAATTGCGTGTCTAAGTAGAAAATGGTCCCTCAAGTGAGTATGCACGACCGGTCGGCAGGCAACATCCTCTGATGATAGTTCACATACAGGTAGGATTCCAACATGGCGTATGAGATATTTTTGGCCACCTGCCTAAGTGACAGTTCGACCATCGCTACCGACGATATCCACCCTGTGCTCCACAGCAAGGTGAGAGCAAGCACGATGACTTGTGCATGAATTAGTTTATAGTGGTAGTAGACTTGCACAGCATCTTACACACTCCGTCCTCCTCTCCCAACCGAAGGCAGTGATCTACCGCAGATTTTCGTGAGTGCACATTTGACCGAGTAGGTTCATGCAATGAGTGAATGTAGAGGGCAGCGCGGACACTGGAGGCGGATGTGGCAAGTGTGTGTGTGTGGGTGCTCCAGGCACTGGTTTGCTATCTCAAAGGTCTGTAAACGTCTGGTATGCCAGGATCAGCAAACCATGGCCCCCGCAGCCCGGTATGCGCTGGCAGTTCTCTAACAGCCGGTTCCCTGCCGGTAGATGCGTTTGCGCACCCGCTGGGTATACAGGTCGTGAGCATGGCTGACCAGTCATCATCCTCGTCCTTCTGACCCGTCGTGGTGTTGCTGTTATCGGTTAAAATCCTGGTCAGTTGTTGTGTCAACTAGGCGGGTGTGACGCCGGGCTCAGGTCGGGGAGGAGAGGGTGCAGTAGATGCAGCGCAAGTCTACGTTCACTATAAACTGGATCACGCGCAAATCGTCGTGTCTGCATCACCTTACTGTGGAGCACGCGGTGTGGACATCGTCAGACGCGACGGTCAAACTGTCAATATATACATGGAACTGTCAGATACTTTATCAGGCGCCGAGCGTATAAATCAACGGCACAACCGACGGTCAATGTCGGCGGACGTAAGTTAGCTGAACATTATCCTTATTTCTTCAAATTTCGGTGGCGTGGTCATCCCCTACGTCAGAGATCGCCTCTCACATGTTATCTAAAAACTGGGGTCCATGTGGCTGGCTGAGGCCTGATAAGCCAGAAATAGTCATTTAAACCTCGCTTCCCTTTGTCGGTTTAACTCCCCTAAAAATTGACTCAGGCAGATGTTATGCGTTGTCGCCAGTAGCAAGCTGGCGGGCGGACAGAATGGGATCGAGTGAGGTCCTAACCACAACAGTTAGGGTCAAACGCCCACTGGTTGGGCTCAAGAGAAAGCCCTTAAGGCACAACGGAACGAGTGAGTTCCGGATGAACGATCGGTGAGCGCCCCTAACATTGTATATTCCCTATCGAAAACCGACAGGGCAACGGGCTCGTGGCCCGGTGGGTAGAGGCATGAACTTCTAAACCAACAGGTCGCGAGTTCGAGGCTCGGGTGTTCCACACTTTGGGCTTGGGTATGGCTGGCTGACGACGGCTAATAAGCCAGAAATGGCCATTCCAGTCTCCCTTGTCTTTGTCGGTAATACCATTCTGCCCATATATGTGTATATATAGAGAGAGGGGGTAGGAAAAGTTAATATTTACACTAAGAGTTTCATTGATAGCTTCGATTCTTTCGTAGATTTTCAGGTGGGCATCATGTGCTAGACGAAAAGCCTCGCTGGCCCACATATTCTCCAGTTGTCTGCGTCTGTCATCTGTAGCTCGCATCAGACGTAGGAATTGCTCTTCAAATTTTGATTGCTTCTGAACGGTCGATTGGTGCAGGGCAGTAAGCTGACTGGCGGTAGGATCCTCGCTTTTTACCTCTACCGCGCTGGCTGCGAGGTCAAACTGCGTTGAAAGAGGAAAGGAGTTAAAAGAAAATCACATGATTGGGCTAGACAGGAAACAAGTTTCGGCTTGCATATCCATCCTTGTTAAATACGGACGGTAACTGTCTACTTCTACAGACTCCAAGGCGAGCGATTTAAGCACGAACACTCCCTTTTTTCAGAAATATTTTCCGGAGTCACGATCTAATATGAGGAAAATTAGGTCGGGTAGAATTTTACCAATAAATCAACATATGGGTTCTATGAAAGAGTTTTAGCGCCATATTTATTGAAGCCGACTGCTCGAAAATCGGCGTCACTTGTTGCTCGAACTGAACCCAAAGCATTTCGTGGGTGAAATAACCGGATTTCATGCTTGCTGCAAGAACGATGGCACCCGACCAGGCCCTCGCAGCCTGGTATGCCTTGTCACTGACACATGGTTCTGTGCCGGTAGATGCGCTTGCGTTCCCGCTGGATATACAGGTCGTGAGCATGGCTGTCCAGTCATCATCCTCGTCCTCTGACCCGTTGTGGTGTTGCTGTTGTCGGTTAAAATCCTAGTCAGTTGTTATGCGCATCAAGGGGTGAGGAGTGGTACGCCTAGGTGCAGGTCCGACCGTGCCAGGTACCTGCGCCCTCTTTCACCTCCGTTTTTCTCGCCTACGTCTTGACACCGGAGTTGGATGGAGAGGAGGAGAGAGTGAGGTGGATGCAGCGCAAGACTACGCTCACTTCAAACTACTTCACACGCAAGTCATCGTGCCGGCTTCAGCTTGCCGTGGAGCACACGATGGACATCGTTGGCACGATGGTCTAACTGTCGGTTCGCCAGTCTCTGGGCGATGGATTCGCAAGTGACCAGCCAGGCCGATGTGTGAGGTGAATGTGCGATCTGCATCGTTGGCGTTGACGGTGGTGAGGCTGTTGTTTGACAGTGCATGAGCTGTTACAGCAGATGTTGGGGCTGAGATGGTGGTGAAGGACGGTGACGGGGGATCACGAGCACCGTTAGGGTGGATTATCGATGTGGGGGGCAGAAGTGGACCGGGAGACATTGCCATTGGTCCGAAGATTTCTTCCTGGAGTGTTCGCTGACGCCATGAGCATGTAGGTGGCGGTTGAATTTTGGCGTTGGGAGACGGGGGTAGTTGAATTTGCGAGGTTCGCGTTTGGCTTTGGCCTAAACACTGTTCAGTAAAACGAAAATACATCATAAATTAACCTACCTCATAAAATGTTCTCCGAAATTCTGAAATGCTTCTTCGTTAAGGTTGGGTTATAATGATGTCTACAGTTACACCAGGATGCTGGCCGTCAAATGAGCCGCTTTTGAGCCGCCTGTGAAAAAAACACTCGGTAAAATGTGAGTACTTATTTAATAGCAACTTCTCCCATTGATTTTCGTCTTCCATATAAATCTGTATTCTATGAAGAACAAGCGCAAAATATTCATTTTTGAACTGATTTAGTGGTCAATCGCGTATCGTTAAACTTTTATGCTCGAAGAAAAGGTATCTCCCGGTTTAAAAAGTTTTCCAATTCCCGAGTAATCTCAAACTCAACTATTTGTTACACTTGTATGTAGGATTTTGAAAATGCCGGCTGCATAATTTCCATGTAAATAGAAGCATACGTGCATATTTGTCATTAAGAAGATACCATCTTGGACTAATGACATTTCTCAGGGGATGTTGGCAGAATCAGTAAAGGGGCAAGTACGATTCTCTATGCATGCGCATTTTACGGTCTGAAAAATCCCACTATTTTAAATTTTTCTGAAACCGAGAGTTAGCGTTTTTCTAGGGACAGAATTTAAAGAGGACGTGATTTGCTATCAAATTTATTTCTTCTTGTATTCATTTCCTGACAAATTACGTCTTCGTTAAATTTTATGCTTGATGAAAGGGAATCTTTCTGTTTTTGACGGATAGTAATTATGAAATTTCAGAGACTGTGAAATGTTTACGCAGATAACATCGCATTCGTCCACTTACTCATGCTCCTTTTAAAGTATACAACATAGTACGCAGGCATTGTTAAATTTCATGACCCCTATACGACATTCTCTTAGTGACGTGGATGGATGTGTGATTTTACTGACAAGGAAAGTATACAGGTTTTAGACAGTAAGACCTAAATGCAAATGTAACTTCAGATTGAGCTCAAGTTTCATCGGCAATTAAAATGACATTTTGAAATGAAAGGATATTATTTATTCGAGAGTAAAATTTAAAGATGACGTGAATTGCTATTAAATGAGTAGAAGAAGAAAGATTGTTGTAAATGTTTTCTTGAAACTATATTTGGTTTTATGAGGACACCGAAAACTAATGCGACAATGCATACTGCATAAGCGGTCATTTTGTACCGAGAGCAGTTTTTCTGGGCGGCCAGTACGATGTACACCCAAAAGTCCGAATCCTGCAATTATTGAAATATTTTTGGATTATACTGCACGATAGTTAACATCACAACCATACGTCAGTGATCTACCCTGGTCAAAAACGCATTTCATGATCTCAGTTAACATTTCGCGAATGTAGGCACTGACCGTAAAGCATATGTACGTCTTTGGATGATGATGATGATGACGACGACGACGACGACGACGACGACGACGACGAGGATGATGAAGATGATGATGATGATGATGATGATGATGATGATGATGATGATGATGATGATGATGATGATGATGATGATGATGATGATGATGATGATGATGATGATGATGATGATGATGATGATGATGATGATGATGATGATGATGACGACAATTAATGATTATGACTCGTTCGACGAGGTGGCCATTTTGTCCCGTTGGTAATTTAACATATGAAATCCAATGCATTAAATAGGGCTGGGATAGCTGATAAATTGCACAGCTCTTCTTGTTACCTACAATCATCCTCCGATAACGAAATATTTAATACTGCGGTTTTAATTTCTCCTGTGAGGACCTATCATCAAGGTCCGATGACTAACTTTTAATATGACAAAAACAAATTATATTTCATGCTGTCTGAATAAAGGAAAAATAACATATCTCACAAATTTTCACGCTGTTTTTGTCAAACATTTGGCGCATTTTTTGGATAATCCTCTTTTAGGCGAGTCGCAGCGCGCGAGCAGTGCGAGGAGCACACTGTCCTAGTTTTGGACATCCAAAGGAGCATTTTTTGAAATTCTGCAAAATTGAGTTTGTTCAAATCAAGCCTCAGCTGCGTGGGCTTCTTGCAGTAGAACCACAGGCCTGGATCTGCCATGACGCACCAGTGTATCCCGAGAGTTGGAAGTTGCTTCTGAACAGACAAAATATGTAGGAGATAATTTGGCTTTATTTTATAATTTTTTCCACCGTAGGAACTAAATGTTGAAAACGGTGAGACAGCCGAAACTTTTGAGAATGGTTGTTTGCCTCTATACTCACTAGGGAAACGCAGTTTTGGAATCACAGTGTAGGCAAGGCCGTTGTTGCCGCCGGTCCCATGTCTGAATCTATACTCTTCCCGGCATCTGTTGTGGAAAGTGCCTGAGAGGAAGTTAGGTGGCGTCTTGAGCGATTGATATTTCTGCCGAACCCCCCACGAAACCACTTTTCGCAGTCCGACGGAAATCGTCGGCGGCAGATTTTGAAAAATATCCGTTTGCTGAGTGACTTCTAAAAAATTAAATGTTGAAAACCGCGAGACCGCCGAAACTTTTGAAAATGGTTTTTTGTCTCAGTACTCACTAGGGAAACGGAGTTTCGGAATAATAATGTTGGTAGTGACGTTGTTGCCGCCGGTCCAATACCTGAATCTACACTCTTCCCGGCATGTTGTGGAAAGAGGGCTGTAGAATCTCAATGAATCCAAGTCATTGGGTTCGGACAACATAGTGACCACGTCTCGGAAGTAGTTTGCGAACGAACTCTCCAAGCCACTATCGCATACCTTCCACTCGTCATTTTCGAATTAAGAAGACTGTATAATTAATCCAATCATTTTTAAATTTTTAAGTGGAGTTTTTTTTCACCGCTCCATAATCCTTTTTCTTAACGCACTATAAATTCAGAAACTATGAATTGCATTTTGCACAGATTCTGCCTACCTCGTCTAAAATTCTATGTAAATTTATTTTTACTTGCTTTGATGGGATTCCGACGGATCTTTTATAAAAAAATTATTATTAGTAAAACCGACATAAAGGGGTACAAATTCGAAACGTAGTCTCAGAACCATCCCCTATTACCAGTGGAGTACTTCAATGCACCATCCTAGGTCCCCTTCTATTTTTCATATATAATCATGACTTATCGTCCATATCAGTATCAGCTAAGACGTTTTTATATGCGGACGACCTTAAACTTGCATATGCATATAACGGGAATACAGTAGCCAATATTCACAGAACAATTGAAACTAATCTCAGAAAACTCGGCGAATGAAGTAGTCAATGGCAGATGCCCTTTTCAGCCGAAAAATGCCACCTCCTGATCTTTGGCCCACAAAAACTTCGAGGATAATGAAATAACGGAGGCCCAATCGGTAGAAGATTTAGGTCTCAGCTATACAAATACCCTTGATTTATCTCCTGACGTCCAACAAATATCACCGAAAGCCACTCGCCTGTGTGGATTCATATGTAAAAATTTCACCTTAAATGTACTAAGAATACAACTTTTCGAAATGTACGTTTTACCTCTTTTAGATTATTGCTCATTTTTTCGATATAATGCCCTCAGACGGCCAAAAGAAACTAGAAGGCATTCAGAGACGTTTCACTAGATCTTCGTCCAGAAGTGGTGGCACCCAGGTTTCGTACTTAGAACTATATCATAAATACGGTCTTCGACCCCTCTGGATCAGAAGACTCCAAAATGGTCTTAACTTCCTATTCAAGGTCACCCATGACCGAGATATTCTCAAAATGAATTTACTAACAAACCTAAAAGCCCCCAGAAACACCAGAAATAACGAGGTTATTATAGGGATCCCCAAATTCACAAACGGCAGCCAGAAAAGTCCCCCGATCCGGTGAGCAATTCATTCTCCTCAAAGTCTAAACGGTCAAATTTCTACTCCATAAGATATGCCACTATCTGGAATGCTCTTCCAAGTTCTATCCGAAAAAAATCGAACCCTAATCGAGTTTAAAATAAAAACTAAGAAATTCCTTTCAAATAACAATACACATTTATTTTTGAATAAGATAGGACATTTTTCAAGTCAATTCTTTGATATAGAATTTGGTCTGAAAGGGATCTGATGATGCCAGCCGCTGGAATAATACCGGAACATAGCACTAAAAACAATCAAATTTATGAAAGATAGCATCATTGATAAACATAGAACAGACAGTGATATTCTTTCTTTCCTCCCTTTATCGTTTCTATCAGCTATGTCATCTGACACTAAATATCCCTTATGAAGCTAATAAAAATATACCCTTCGATAAAACCCTGCATATTAGTTGTACGTAAGTCTATATTAAGGCCATATTAAACATATATACAACTACATTAGATCATTTCAGTCTATTTCAGTTTATTTGGCAAGGATAATAGGCAAGGCCTTTGAAAACCCTACTGATTTCATGTCAGCTCGTTAGAAATAACTGTACACGAATAATAAAAATATTCGCTATTAAAACAGTACTTGATCAATTTGAGTAGCATTGTCTCAGAGAAAATATTTGCGATGTCGCGGGGTATTTAATTCAGATTCAGACTGTCAAGGAAAAACAGGGGACACAAATAATCATCCAAGCGTTTCTTGAAGAGTTGCAGAGACGTAGCCTCCACGACTGACTGAGGGAGATCGTTCCATTTCTCCACTACCCTCTGCGTGAAAAATTCAGAATGAACATTCAGCCTGGACATTGTTGTCCGTAACTTCATTGAGTGACCACGAAGATTGGGCGAAAGGCGCCACTGAAACATGTCCTCAAAGTCGAGTCCATGCTCAAGGCCATGTATTATCTTGTAGACGAGGATAAGATCACCTCTTTGGTGCCTGTAACACAAAGGGAATAAATTAAAGCAATTCAGTCTGTCTGTGTAGGATTGGTTCTTTAGACCGTTTACCAGTTTTGTTGCACGACGTTGTACTCGATGGAGGCATGCTTGGTCCTTTACTAGCCATGGCCGCCATGCTTGTAGGGCATATTCTAAGTGGGGCCGAACAAAGGTGCCGTAAACTCTCCCAAAAAGGTCTTGGTCAAAGATTACGAACGTCCTTTTGATTGCATGCAGCACTCCCATGGCGTTTTTTGCCGCCTTGTGGCATTGCCGTGTTGGTTTTAGGTTGTTCTGTATCCAAACTCCGAAATCCTTCTGTGAAGATTCTGCGCGGAGCCTTATATCTTTCAGGTGATATGTCCTCAGGCTCTCATTTGAATGAGAGTTGGTTGGACGCAGATGAAGGACGGCATACTTCTCCACGTTGAAATCTAAAAGCCGTTTCTTCGACCACGCTTGCAGTCGGTGCAGATTATCTTGAAGGGACCTCTGATCATTCGGACCCCTAATGACTTGTCAGAGCTTAACGTCGTCGGCAAACATTATTTTGCCGTAGTCGAGTTCCTGAAGGCTGTCATTAACATAAAGGATGAAAAGCAATGGTCCCAGAACTGAGCCTTGAGGTACACAACTGGTCACGTTCACCCATTATGACATCATCTCCGATACAGACACGTTGTCTCCGACCAACCAGAAACGCCCTAATCCAGTTCAGAAGATCTCCTCGGATGACGATGGCGCTCAATTTGTGAAGAAGGCGTTGGTGCGGAACAGAATCGAAAGCTTTGCGGAAATCGATATGTACATCGATATACACGACATCGACCTCAAAACTCTCTTCTAGAGCCTCGGTTCAGATCTCCAGACAAGCTCGCAGATTTGAGAGGCAGGAACGTCCTCTCCGGAAGCCATGTTGAAAATCCTGCAAGATGTTATTTTCTTCACAAAGCTGCTGCATAGCGCTCTTTATTAGAGCTTCCATCGTTTTGCAAGGGAGGCAACTTAAGCTAATAGACCTAAAGCTGCTTACTGTCATCCAGCTACATCCCTTATGCAATGGAACGAGGTTAGCTGTCTTCCACTGTGAGGGCAGCCTTCCTGTTCTCATTGACAGCTCAAAGAGAGTCGAAAGAGGCCTTGACAGCTCCGTTGATAACGCCTTAAGTATTAGTCCGGGAATTCCGTCGGGTCCGGGAGACTTATCAGGTTTTATTTGGCTGAGGACGCGTCTTACTTCTTCGACGAAAAGGCGACGGTTTCAATGACGGCAACATCTTGGCGCATTTGAAGCTCTCGGCTGTCTCGGTCCATTTCAAACTGCTGATTGTCTTCTGAGGACTCCTCCGTAAAAACCGACTGAAAAAACTGAGATAGTTATTGCACTTTCTGTGGCCCTTCAAATAACAAGTTTCCGAGGCTATCCTTTAGACACGCAATTTCGTCCCAATTTTTCCTCCTACTGCGGATGTACCCGTAAAACTTCTTGTGTCATGAATGGCTTCTGTATCAGTCAGCGCTCGAAAGGAGTTCGAGCAACCCGTATTGGTTTGCGGCATTTATTGCGCTGATCCTTATATTTGGCGAATGACATTGGATCCCGAAGTTGCAAATACTTTTTTCACAGCTTCTGTTTCTTCTTCATGGTCTTTTTGTCGTCGAATTGACCCAGTGCGGTCGCGCACATGGTCTTGTTATTTTTATAGGACAATGGATGTCAATTAGACGCTATATAATTCCGCGAAAGTACTGCCAGCATTCTTCTGAATCTTCCATGTTGACT